TGTATAGGTTTAAGTGGAACATTTCTATATAAGCCTAAACTGTAACATTTCTATACAGATCTAGTGTCTCCATGAAAAAAAACATTCAGAGGTATATGAAGGTTCCAGTAATTCAGTCATCACTTCGTAATGTGAGTATGAAGGTTTCTTGATCCATGGATTTGGATCTGTTCTCCACTTAAAGTATGAATACCTCCCATTTCCCAAGACCCGTGGGTTTACCCGTTCCCCCATGAATATATTATTAATTTAAAAAAAAAAATTGCTGTCATTTGAGACCAGAGTGACCTTCATCTTAATATTTTGGTTCTTTGAGGTTAATGTGTTGAAGATTTGGGTCACTGCCCGGTGAGTAACTTACCCGCTTAATTCACCACTCGGTGAGTAACTTATCTGCTGAATTCACCATTCAGTGAGGAACTTATCTGCTGAATTCACCATTCAGTGAGTAACTTACCCGCTTAATTCACCATTCAGTGAGTAACTTACCCGCTTAATTCACCACTCGGTAACTTATCTACTGAATTTACCATTCAGTGAGTAACTTACCCGCTTAATTCACCACTCGGTAACTTATCTACTGAATTTACCATTCAGTAACTTACCCGCTTAATTCACCATTCAGTGAGTAACTTACCCGCTTAATTCACCACTCGGTAACTTATCTGCTGAATTCACCATTCAGTGAGTAACTTACCGCTTAATTCACCATTTAGTGAGTAAGCTATCTGCTGAATTCACCATTCAGTGAGTAACTTACCCCTTAATTCACCATTTAGTGAGTAAGCTATCTGCTGAATTCACCATTCAGTTAGTAACTTACCCGCTTAATTCACCATTCGGTGGGTAACTTATCCGTTGAATTCACCACTCAGTGAGTAACTTACCCGCTTAACACCCACTCGGTGAGTAACTTATCCGCTTAATTCACCACTCAGTATGGAACCCTCTGGGTGCGCACTATATATCAATGATGATAAATTAGACACATGTGCAACTCTTGGGTATCTTTATTGAGGAAACGTTTCGCCACACAGTGGCTTCATCAGTCCATACAAAGGAGAATCTTGAAGAACAGGAGGAGAATGAGGTAATCAGTCCCTCAACCTTGAGTCGATGTGGTCAGTCCATCAATCTTCAAGATTGATGGACTGACCACATCGACTCAAGGTTGAGGGACTGATTACCTCATTCTCCTCCTGTTCTTCAAGATTCTCCTTTGTATGGACTGATGAAGCCACTGTGTGGCGAAACGTTTCCTCAATAAAGATACCCAAGAGTTGCACATGTGTCTAATTTATCAACATGTCGGTTCTCTGAACCATTCATCTGCAAACACTATATATCACCTGCGTTTGGTTACAAATAAATACAGTTGTTTTAAATGTTTTATTTGGTTCTTGAAGAAATTACGTTTCGTACAGTAATTGATAAAATATTTTAACATATTGGAGTAGTGACATTGCCACTTGCAGACTGTTTAAAGATTTGTTACCGAAAGTTTGACTTTAGTGAGTTATATATAGATGAACCAGAGAACTGTGATGCACAGGCCATCACAAGGATGTGCGTACATAGTGATCCATCTGTGTGTACACGAGGTGCTTAGTGTTTGACATGCTTAATCATCCATGAGGATAGCTTTTCTTTAGCCCCGACGTTTGGTGTCTTATTGATCAGCTCTACGAAGTTGTTGATATTGCTCTGGGCGTCACAGTTGCACTTGAAAATTTTTTGGGCTAACTCAGGCAGTACATTTGCAGGATATACATTACGTTTTAACTTAGACGGCAGCCAACAAAGTGTGCGCTTGGCTTTACTGCATTGTTCTAGGTTAATTTACACTTGTCATATTCTGTCTAAAAGAATTCTAAGAATCTAAATTTGTGTAGTGAACCTGAATAAGAATTCCTTTTAAACACCGGCGTCTCCCCCCAAGGTAATACATTCACCATCATTCAACAGCTGTTTTTCAAGGAATGTGCAGACATCACAGTTTAAAGCATAACACATTCGCCACCATTCATACAACAGCTGTTTTGCCAAAAGAGCGCAGGCGTAATTCAGCAGCATCTTGACCACCACACACTAAACCCGTGAGGGTCATAACGCCAGGGGAATGAGAAACAGTGTACACAAGAGATCCAGTTGGATTAGTATACCCCACCTCAGCATCGGGTTCAGCGCTTTGTTTTGATTATAATAATTATCATACCTGTGAAGAGCTTTTGATCCAGGAAGTTGGAGATACCCTTCAATATACCTCACCCCAGCACCACTGTTGTCATTATACCCTCAACACTATTGCTATTATTATCCCTCCTGTCAACACCACTGTCATTATACCTTCACTTCTATCTATATACGTCCTAAAAACCATTTGTCTCCATTCACTCCTGTCTAACACGCTCGCGCACACTTGCTGGAAGTCAAAGCCCCTCGCACACAAAACCTCCTTTACCTCCGTCTAACCCAGTGGTTCCCAAACTTTTTCAGCTTGTTACCCAATTTAACATGCCACATAAAGCATGTTACCCCTTTCACAAAATGTTGTTATTATTGATATATATGGCTAAACGTGAACGTATACAGCCTCGCATACTCTGCTAATCCTAGCAAAACCATTGAAAACGTAAGAACCACACATACATTATATATAAAATTAATAATAGCTACAAATTCACAGTAACAGTGGGTAAATACTAACTATATACTGCACAGGGCAGTACACATACATACCAGCTTATGTCTACCTCGGCTGATGCTCACAGATAAACTGACAGTGTGAAATAGAGGCAGCCTCAGGAAGTGAGTGACGCGTACTGGACAGGTCGATCTGGGCTACTGAGTGACTTTTGTCCTGAAGCATACTTGTCAAAATACTTTTGGGTTTCCACACTATTTCTTCTTTTCTAATACTGTATATTAGTTTTTGATGTTTATTGTTATTTGGTTTAACTTTATTACTTACTTATAATAGGTTTACTTTACAACTTTATATACTAAGACAAAGTTAATAATCCTCATACCGGGTACCTCATTGTTTTCTTGATTTTCAGAATTCATAACTTTTTTTCTGTCACCCCTTCATTACCCCCAAAAATGGTTAAATTACCCCCAGGGAGTAATTTACCCCCAGTTTGGGAACCACTGCTCTAACCTTTCCTAGGCCGACCCCTACCCCGCCTTCCCTCCAGTAAGATATATATAATTAAAACAGACCGGTCGTAACCCACCAAGGCAGAGTGACACGGAACACTTTCACCATCATTCACACTATCAGTCTTGCCAGAGCCTCGCAGACACGACAGTTTAGATGTCACTCTAAACAGCAAATATACCAAACTCTTTAGACTGCAGGCACTGTACTTCCCACCTCCAGGACTCAAGTTTGGCTAACCAGTGTCCCTGAATACCTTCACTAAATATTACCCTTATCACAATCCAACAGCTCTTGAAGTCCCGAAAATTATTCGTCTCCACTCCTGTCTGATTCACTCACACGTGCCTGCTGTATGTCCAAGCCCCTTGCATACAAAGCCTCCTTTACCCCCCTCCCTCCATACTTTCCAAGGACGACACCTATCCCGCCTTCCCTTCATTTCAGATTTATGCACCCTCTAAGTTACCCTATTTTGCTCCATCCTCAACCCCTCCTCAGCCCTCTGAATAATACTTTTAGTATCTCCACACCTAATTTCCACACTGAATTCTCTTCATAATATGCTACACATTGCCCTTAGATACGACTTCCACTGCTTCCAGCCTCTTCCTCGCTGCAGCATTTACAACCCATGCTCCATACTCATATAAGAGTGCTGGAACCACTATACTCTCATACATTCCTTTATTTGCCTCCATGGATAACTTCATTTGCTTCCACAGATACGTCAGTGCACCACCCACCTTTTTCCCTTCATCAGTTCTATGCTTTACTTCGTCCTTCATAAACCCATCCGCCGACAGGTCCACTCCCAAATATCTAAATATATTCACTTCCATACTCCCACCAATCTGATATCCAATATGTCCTCACCTAACTCGTTTGATATCCTCATCTCCCTAACTCTCGTCTATTTTCACTCCATTTACACCCAAACTCGTCCACTGTCCTTTACAACTTCTCTTCAGAATCTCCCAAAAGCACAGTATCATCAGCAAAAAGTAACTGTGTCATCTCCCATTCCTAATTTCATTCTGCATAATTTAATCCCACCACTCCCCAACACCCTAGCATTTACTTCTTTTACGACTCCATCTATAAATATGTTAAATAACCTTGGTGACATCACACATCCCTATATAAATACTACTTTTACTGGAGGGTAATCTCTCTCCTGCACACCTTGACCTGAGTTTCACTATCCTCATAAAAACAGTTTATAGAATTTGGTAACCACGTATTCCATACACTTGCAATATCTGCCACAATGCTCCCCTATCCACCCTATCGTATACTTTTTCTAAATCCATAAAAGCAAAGAAAACTTCCCTACCTTTATCTAAATATTTTTTCACTTATATGTTTCAATGTAAACAGTCTACACACCCCTTACCCATTCTAAAGCTTCCTCCGCCTGCTCTCCGTCTTACCCCTGATTATTTCAATAATAACCCTACCATGCGCTTTACCTTGTATACTCGGTAGGCTTATTTTCCATATAATTTTTACTCTCTTGTCCCCCCTTCCCTTTATATAAACTATGCACGCTCTCTGCCACTTCCTAGGTATCGTCTTCTTTTTGGGTCACCCTGCCTTGAGAAACGGCCGATGTTTTAATAAAATATGTAAAAAAATAATTTGCTGGCATTTGAGACCAGAGTGACCTATGTCTTAATATTTTGGTTCTTTGAGGTTAATATACTGAAGATTTGGGTCACTGTCCGGTGAGTAACTTGCCCGCTTAATTCACCATTCAGTAACTTACCCACTTAATTCACCACTCAGTATGAAACCCGCTGGGTTATTATTACCTGCATTTGGTTACAAATAAATACAATTGTTTTAAATGTTTTATTTGGTTCTTGGAAAAAATACGTTTCATACAATAATTCGTACAATTTATCATATTAGAGTTGTGACATTGTCACTTGCAGACTGTCTGAAGATGAGTTACCGAAAGTTTGACTTTAGTGAGTTATATGATGAACCAGAGAACTATGGAGAGATGCACAGGCGATGACGAGGCTGTGTACACCGTGATCACTCTGTGTGTACACGAGGTGTTCAACGATTGACATGTTCGTTGATATATGCTGCCAGCTTTCTGTTATACGCGGCGTTCTCTGGCTTACTGATTATGCTTACGAAGAGGTCGACATCTTTCTGGGCGTCACATTGGCACTTGAAGTTCCTTCTCACTAACTCGGGCAGCAGACCTGCGGGAGATACATTATGTTTTAAGTTAGATTAGGTTAGGTTAACTTTGATGGCCGCCAACAAAGTGATGCCTTGACTTTATTGCTTTATCCTTGGTTAATTTACACTAGTCATATTCTGTCTAAAAGAATTCTAAGAATCTAAATTTGTGTAGTGAACCTGAATAAGAATTCCTTTTAAACACCGGCGTCTCCCCCCAAGGTAATACATTCACCATCATTCAACAGCTGTTTTTCCAGGAATGTGCAGACATCACAGTTTAAAGGATAAGACATTCGCCACCATTCATACAACAGCTGTTTTGCCAAAAGAGCGCAGGCGTAATTCAGCAGCATCTTGACCACCACACACTAAACCCGTGAGGGTCATAACGCCAGGGGAATGAGAAACAGTGTACACAAGAGGTCCAGTTGGATTAGTATACCCCACCTCAGCATCGGGTTTAGCGCTTTGTTTTGATTATAATAATTATCATACCTGTGAAGGGCTTTTGATCCAGGAAGTTGGAGATACCCTTCAATATACCTCACCCCAGCACCACTGTTGTCATTATACCCTCAACACTATTGCTATTATTATCCCTCCTGTCAACACCACTGTCATTATACCTTCACTTCTATCTATATACGTCCCTTCAACATTACTATCATTCCTTCCTTCACCACTACTCAAATCATCATACCTTCCACACTACTGCTATTATCATAACTTCCTTCCACACTACTGTTATTATCATAACTTCCTTCCACACTACTGCTATTATCATAACTTCCTTCCACACTACTGCTATTATCATAACTTCCTCAAACACCGCTATCTACACGCTTATTATAATTAACGCAACAATCACTACCACCATCACTACAAGCATTTCCACCACACCTCTCCCTTTACAACCGTTATCAACATAATATAGAAGTATCACCAACGCGACAGTAGGTAGTACTGATGGTTACCAGCTGTTTACAGAATCCTTCCTACGTTATTAGCATCACCTCACAAATTATTGAATTTCTTCTCTCTCTCCCCACCCAAGTTCACAGGAACATCCATACCCGGGTTCGCAGGAACACACACTACATCCGGGTTCACAGGAACACACACACTACACCCGGGTTCACAGGAACACAAACACTACACCCGGGTTCACAGGAACACACACACACACTATACCCGGGTTCACAGGCACACACACACACTATACCCGGGTTCACAGGAACACACACACTACACCCGGGTTCACAGGAACACAAACACTACACCCGGGTTCACAGGAACACACACACACTGTACCCGGGTTCACAGGAACACACACTACACCCGGGTTCACAGGAACACAAACACTACACCCGGGTTCACAGGAACACACACACACTATACCCGGGTTCACAGGAACACACACTACACCCGGGTTCACAGGAACACACACACTACACCCGGGTTCACAGGAACACACACACTACACCCGGGTTCACAGGAACACACACACTACACCCGGGTTCACAGGAACACACACACACTACACCCGGGTTCACAGGAGAGTAGTGGAGCACCTGGAACGGAACAGGAGTATAAATGCCAACCAGCACGGATTCACGGAAGGCAAATCCTGTGTCACAAACCTTCTGGAGTTTTATGATAAAATAACAGAAGTAAGACAAGAGAGAGAGGGGTGGGTTGATTGCATCTTCTTGGACTGCAAGAAGGCCTTTGACACAGTTCCTCACAAGAGATTAGTGCAGAAGCTAGAGCATCAGGCGCATATAACAGGAAGGGCACTGCAATGGATCAGAGAATACCTGACAGGGAGGCAACAACGAGTCATGGTACGTAATGATGTATCACAGTGGGCACCTGTGACGAGCGGGGTCCCACAGGGGTCGGTCCTAGGACCAGTGCTATTTTTGGTATATGTGAACGACATGACGGAAGGGTTAGACTCAGAAGTGTCCCTGTTTGCAGATGATGTGAAGTTAATGAGGAGAATTAAATCTGATGAGGACCAGGCAGGACTTCAAAGAGACCTGGACAGACTGGACACCTGGTCCAGCAAATGGCTTCTCGAATTTAATCCTGCCAAATGCAAAGTCATGAAGATAGGGGAAGGGCACAGAAGACCACAGACAGAGTATAGGCTAGGTGGCCAAAGACTGCAAACCTCACTCAAGGAGAAAGATCTTGGGGTGAGTATAACACCGAGCATGTCTCCGGAAGCACACATCAATCAGATAACTGCTGCAGCATATGGGCGCCTGGCAAACCTGAGAACAGCATTCCGACACCTTAGTAAGGAATCATTCAAGACACTGTACACCGTGTATGTCAGGCCCATACTGGAGTATGCAGCACCTGTTTGGAACCCGCACTTGATAAAGCACGTCAAGAAACTAGAGAAAGTACAAAGGTTTGCAACAAGGTTAGTTCCAGAGCTAAGGGGAATGTCCTATGAAGAAAGATTAAGGGAAATCGGCCTGACGACACTGGAGGACAGGAGGGTCAGGGGAGACATGATAACGACATATAAAATACTGCGTGGAATAGACAAGGTGGACAAGGACAGGATGTTCCAGGGAGGGGACACAGAAACAAGAGGCCACAATTGGAAGTTGAAGACACAAATGAGTCAGAGAGATAGTAGGAAGTATTTCTTCAGTCATAGAGTTGTAAGGCAGTGGAATAGCCTAGAAAATGACGTAGTGGAGGCAGGAACCATACACAGTTTTAAGACGAGGTTTGATAAAGCTCATGGAGCGGGGAGAGAGAGGGTCTAGTAGCAACCGGTGAAGAGGCGGGGCCAGGAGCTAGGACTCGACCCCTGCAACCACAAATAGGTGAGTACAAATAGGTGAGTACCCGGGTTCACAGGAACAAATACACTACTACACCCGGGTTCACAGGAACACACTACACCCGGGTTCACAGGAACACACACTACACCCGGGTTCACAGGAACACACACTACACCCGGGTTCACAGGAACACACACACTACACCCGGGTTTACAGGAACACACACACTACACCCGGGTTCACAGGAACACACACACTACACCCGGGTTCACAGGAACACACACACTACACCCGGGTTCACAGGAACACACACACTACACCCGGGTTCACAGGAACACACACACTACACCGGGGTTCACAGGAACACACACTACACCCGGGTTCACAGGAACACACACACACTATACCCGGGTTCACAGGAACACACACACTACACCCGGGTTCACAGGAACATACACACACTACACCCGGGTTCACATAAACATACACTGCACCCGGGTTCACAGGAACACACACTACACCCGGGTTCACAGAAACACACACTGCACCCGGGTTCACAGGAACACACACACTACACCCGGGTTCACAGAAACACACACTCACTACACCCGGGTTCACAGAAACATACACTGCACCCGGGTTCACAGGAACACACACACTACACCCGGGTTCACAGGAACACACTACACCCGGGTTCACAGGAACACACACTACACCCGGGTTCACAGAAACACACACTACACCCGGGTTCACAGGAACACACACACTACACCCGGGTTCACAGGAGCACGGACCAACCTACTTCTAATTCTGTGTGTGGCCTCGTGGCAGTCAGTTTTGGTGGCATCCACGAGACAATCGACAACTTCTGATATGTGATTTAGGTAAAAATTCTTCTCCTCCTCGGTGAAGAGAGGCAGATTTAATACCTGGCTGCTACACCCTTGCAACACCACCAACATCACCACCAGCACTGCAGATTTCATGGTTGATATCTGCAAACATCACATGTTCGTCAAGATTATTAACACATACCAAACGAAGTTGTAAATATTGTATAAAACAATACACATTAATATAATCAAAGTATTCTATCAGTTATGTTACTGTTTAATTTGAAGGCTGCCTGAAATACTTGGCATAACTAGGCTGCCCCATATATAAGAGCTTGTGATCATTCAATCTCTTACAGATATAATGCAAAATCGTCGGTCATTTTTTTTTAAATCTGACACTCAGAGCAGGAAATTGTATGTTTATGTTCATTCAGTGCGGGTGAGGGGTTCTTGATCTAGGAAACTGGATTTATCCTCCCCTTTGGGTTGAAACCTAACACTTGCGGGTTTAGCACTTCTCTCTGATTAAAATATATATTAATAGTAAGCTCTAAACCTGTGTGAATAATTCAGCACGAGGAGTGATGGAAGCTTCATGCTCCGTCCACTAATCGCGAGATAAACTTGACTTTTGTATCCAGACCTCGTGAGACGCGGAGACTAAGAATGCAGATCCGACTAAGAGTGCGCGTTCGCTGGATTTGGAAAATTTAAATATTTACAAATCCAACTCTTGGGGCACGTTCGTGAGACAGAGAAAGGTGAAAGTGGTAACAGGTTTCATTCGAGTCTTATTATCCACTTCAAACCCATTATTTACTACATATTGTTATGTAGATTAATATTATAGATGTAACTGTAGCATACTTACGCACCCACCCAGTGGGTGCATAAGTATGGGTACATGTGTAATTATTTAAATTTATATATAAAAAGTAGAGGAAACTAGCGGTAGCCACCACCACCAGTTAACAGGTTCTCCTTACGTCACTTACACTTTCACCAGTTCTCACCTCAGAACATTCACCAGCTATGTTAAGCTACTACCACTGTGACCTAAACTATCACCATCACTAACTATATGTAGCTACCACCACTGTGACCTAAATTATCACCATCACCACCACCAGCTGTATGTAGCTACCACCACTGTTACCTCAACTATCACCATCACTCGCCATCACCACCAACGATTTGTAGCTACCACCATTGTGACCTAAACTGTCTTTGGTTAAGAACCTATTAAGGGTTGAGGGACTGAACACCTGAGAATTACTTTTCCACTAATACTGTCTCCAGTGTTATAATTACATATATTCGACTGAAGAAGCCTGCTACGCAGGCGAAGAATTTCTACAATAAAGACACTTAAGAGTTGCACGTGTGTCTTGCCCATCAATTTGTCAGTATTGTCTACCATTTATAATAGCAAACTATCGCCATCACCAGCTCTTATGTAACTACCACCACTGTGACCAAAACTATTACCATCACTGCTAGTGTCAACACTAGCACTAACACCTGATATTAATACTAACATCACCATCACTGTCACCATTAATACTAACCACCACCATTGTCACCATTAATACTAACACCATTCACCTAGCACCACCAGCGTCATCTACAGTATTATCATCAACAAACACTGACAATACTAGCAACAACACTGGCACCATCACCATCTCTAAAACACTAATACGACACGAACAGCACTAGGAGCCCCACTGACACTCGAACACAACTCAAGCAGCAACATTCACCAAGAGTGTACAGCAGCACGCTTCACACAGGAGTGGGGGCAAGTGTCTAGCACAAGCGCAGTAGTTATTATATACGATCTTTAGACCGCTCACCAGGCTGCGAAGGTTAAGTTGCGACATTATGAAAGGGTAATGTATAAATATATATATATATATATATATATATATATGTACGTACACTTGCATGGGTACTCTCATGTGTACCCACCAATTTGTATTTGCAGGGGTTCATTCTCGGCTGGTTCCCCTGTCGCTTAGCTAAATCCACCCACATAACTGATATCCGGTGGCCTGGTTCTTCTCAGTCCTACCCTTGTAGCTATATGGAGTTTACCTCTCACTTCTTTGTTAATCTTATTCCATTTCTCTACCACCTCGAGACTGCAGGGTGTTAGATGTCTCCACCAAACCTACAGGAACATTTCTGTTTTTTATATTTTTTACTCAAATATTATCTCTTATTAGTATCAGCTGCCTTCATAGATGCAATACGGGACGTCTCATGCATACCTAGTTTTTCTAATCTTCAATCTCTCTGTTTCTTTGTTGATCTACAGCTCGAACACCCCACTTCTTATTTTGCTACCATTATGTTTGATTCATCCCAGGGTTACCCATGCCATTATGCTTGTGAACCTAGTATCATAATTATTCTCTCCCAGTCTGTATTTTCTTTTGCCATAATTTGAAGTTATATTTATCATATCACTTTATCGCTTGTTAAGTTTAATATTTTTGTCAACAAATATCTTTAGTTATCTAACCCATGGTAGTTTTCTCACTTAAGTGGCTTCCAGTTTCTGGTCTTGCCATCCTAACTTCTTTATGTACCTTAAGTTTTCTAAAATTGGGTCCAGTTTATCTAGTAGATACAATGCAAACTTCTTCACTCATCCACGGTCAGCTTTATTGACTAGTTGCTACTTCAACACAACACGTAATATATAGACAAGCTGATGAATATGACAAGTGTGAAACACTTGGGAGTTTTTATTGATGGAAATGTTCCGCTAACCATTAGCTTCTTCAGTTATCTATATTGGATTGAAAAATTCATTGGTTGACGAAATGTCTCCAACAGTTAAGATACCCTGGCGTTACATGTGTTATTACTAAGTTATTTCATTATGGTGTAGTTCATGAATGTTTATATTTTTCTCTCGTCTTCCTGCTATGGAAAGAGGGAACTAGGAACAGTTTTCCTAGCACAAGAAGACAGACTTGGAAAAAAATACAGCATAATTTAGCAGTGTTGCCCATTTATGTTCTTTGGTCTGTCTCAGAATAAGCACGGTAGGTAACGATTGTACTTGATCTCAGATATTTGCTCGCCTCTTGCCACCTTGACCTACCCTCTGGCTTTCTCTCACGACTTGACTATATTTGTGCTAGACGGATCAAAACTACAAGGTTTTATTTTAAATTTGTGGGTTTTTTTTGGTAATTATTCCAGCCACGGTGTTGTGACTTGTATTCTTATAACACCTTTCTGAACAAACACTGTCTAACGTTTTATCAGCCACAAATTCAGTGTGGGGATAATGAGTTTCAAAGCTTTAAGTGAAACTAGAGACCTGGATGAGTCATCTCATCTGAGTCGATTGCCTTGAAGGATGGTCAACTAGTGTGAGATCTTGTATGCATATCAAAATTTGAAATTTTATTAGCAGTGTTCAGAATTTGAAATATTGTGAACAGTGTTCATGAATATTGCAGAAAGCGAATGTGTATGTTAAACGTAAGTTTGTGCGGTTTAAAGGCTATCCACTTCACAAATGTCAATTAGGCTACGTTTCACATAAACGCTAATACAGTATGTACTTATTGTATCCCCTAATATAGAAATTAAGGCAAACTCAAGTGTATATACACAGAAATTTACATCTCTTGGTGTAAATATACTGTGAAGGTCTGTAAGTAATAAAATGCTAGCTATTGTTGTTATTTCCATATTTTAACTGATATTTATGTACACAAATAACCACCACAAAAGAGAGAGGAGCTTCTGACGACGTTTATTCGACTTTGAACATTTACAAAGTCACAGTAACAGAAAAGAGTGAGATAGTCACTATATATATAGGAGAGCGGGACAAGGACGGAAACAAGAGGGAGAAGAGGAAGTTGTAGTAGTGGTAAGGTAGGTAGTGGAAGTAGAAGAAATAGTGGTAGTAGAAAGTAGGGAGAGTAGTGGCACACGTGAGAAAAGGGTGTGAAGGGAGACGATAGTAAACGCAGTAGCAATAGAGGAATGGAGGGAAAGATGTAGTAGTGAATTAGTCTAAGGACTGCGGGGGACCTAAGAGCCCATAAGGGTTAGGACCAAAAACGCAGGGGAGGAAAAACTGACTTACAGAACACAGGCAGAAAGGAAAAAAAATAGGAAAGGAGAAGAGGTAGGGAAAGGAGAAGAAAGTCAGGTTAAGTCACGAGTGTTCCGAAGTTTGGAGCATTAACAGTGTATAAGGAAAACTAACAAACGGCGACTGTGAAAGCTTGAAGTAGGGTACAGTTTTAGCAGAGGACCAGTCAGTAGGATGACTGTCATCTCTAACATGATAAAAAAAAAGAGCATTATTGGTGTCTGCGAGCCTAATTCTTCTTTTGTGTATTTTGAGTGTCAGAAAGACAGCGGTCAGTTTCTCCAAAGTATCGGAGAGAACAAGAGGAGCATGAGGGAGTAGACACCAGGGGTATCTATAGCGGGAGGGAAGAGGTGCGAACTAGTTTACTGCGGAGAATGTTAGTTCAGCGAAAAGTAAATTTAATGTCTAAAGAACAGAGAGAGTTGTTGAGATTAGAAAGACGAAATATAGAAAAGGCAGAGAACAGGGGATTTCACAGGAGTAGAAAGTTTGGGAGAGAAGAAAAAGGCACAAACGCTTAGCATATGTTGTGCCTTTTTGTTCTTGACAATTATGCTTCTTTATATATTGTAGAATTACATTTTACTACCCTAATTACTGTTATGTCAAGGACTGTAAAAGAACATATGTAAGAATGACCGAGCATTTTATCAATAAATTTTTGAGAAATAGAAACAGGTTTGGAGAGAGAAAAAAAAGGTGGGAAAACTTTGGAAAATAATCTTGTTACGTATGAAAAGGTGGTGAGAGGTTAGTGGGGAAGGCGGAGGCAGGAAGAGATAGAAAGAATATTTTAAAATTTTGAAATGTGAATGATTCTGATTTTTCCCCTGAAGCAGCTAGTTTCTTGTTCATCCCTATGAGAAGGAGGCGGTGATTTCATGCATTGGACAAGAAGGAAAGGATTCGATTCTCTTAGGTGGGAGGAAGCAGAAGTTAGGATGCACTGCGGTAAAGTAACGGGGATAGATGGGATTATGATTAACCAGGTGAGGATATGGTTTTGGAATGGTGGTGTATTTTTAATATATGTATGAAGGAAAGACGCATACATAGTTACTTTAGAAAAGGGAACGTGCAGTGAATGCTGCCGATGAGTCAGCAGTGGTTTATTGAATTTAGATATGGTAAAAGACATAAAGTGGATAAGAAAATGTGATAGGAGTCGCAAATATATGGAATATATAGTAGGTTACTAAGAGCAATAAAGTTTTTATGAGGAGAATGAGACTGAGATTAGGATATGTAGAAGAGATGTGGAATATTATACACTAACGTGGGTCTTAGTTAAATGCTAATAGATGAGTTGTAGAGGGAATTAAAGCTAGATAGATGGGCATAGGTGTAGGGTCTAAAATATTTGAAACTGATATGAAGTGAGAGTTGTCAGTTACCCTTTGCTGGTATGACGGTGCTTTTGTGGGGATTCTGAGGAGTTGTAGTTTGGTGGACCAGTCTGGGAGTGTGTAGAAGAATGAAGATGCAAGTCAACATAGATAAAAAGCAATGTGTTAAGAGTAGAAAAGTGTCTGAGTAAATAAAGATTTTATATGAGACAGGAGAAAGTT